TTCCACCATATCCTAAAGGTGCTCTATTGAATTGAGTTCTGGTGACTGCGGAGGCCATTTGAGTACAGTGAACTTGTTGTCATGTTAAAGAAACCAGTCTGGATGTAGCCATCAGAAGATGGGTACACTGTGGTCATAAAGGGATGGACATGTTCACCAACAATACTCAGGTGGGCTGTGGTGTTGACACAATGCTCAACTGGTACTAACGGGCCCAAATTGTACTAAGAAAATCTATAAAGCATTTGAACCCACAGAACTGCTGCTCGCTGGTAAATTTCTCTTTTTCGAACCATTCTCTGTAAACCCTAGAGATGGTTGTGCGTGAAAATCCCACTAGATCAGCAGTTTCTGAAAAACTCAGATCAGCCCATCTGGCACCAACAACCATGTTGGGTGTTCCTGACATGAAGTGTCAAAAAAAGTGGCCGGTCAGTGTAAATTTCTATAAATGAGAAATCAAACTTTGATTACATTTGCAATATAATTCTCAGCTACAGTACATAGGGACACTTAGTTTCAGAGAACATATCTTGAATTAAGATCATTCTTGGTCACTCTATACAATAGATTTTCATTTAGTTAACTACAGTATAGTAACTGGCAATTAATAATAATATAATATGATAATTATTATATTATATTATATATTATTATTATTTAATATTATATTATATTTTATTATATAAATTATGTAGAAAATTTTCAGTTGTGTTTGTATTGACTTCCTGTTTTAGTTCCTGGTTCCCATATTCCAATGCCTGCTTGTCACCTTGTTAGTTGTCTGCATTATATGCATTTGTTTATCAGTGCTACAGGGCATATAATGTTTGATTCACCGTGTGCTTTGCTAAACAGGACAACAAAAGTCTATACTACTAAGTCTTGACAAAAGTCTTGTTGCCAACAAAAGTTTTAGGAACAACAAATAATAACTTGACTTTTAGTTGATCATTTGGTATCAGAAGAGGCTTATATGAAAAGTAAAGTCCTCTAGATTATGCTTATTTTACCAAAATAAAACATGATCATGCCTTGATTTTTAATTATTTGATTAGGACAGTAAGTTCTGACTTTGCTTAGACAAAGGTCTCGTTACTTAACAGAAATAATGTCCAGTATAGAATATAAAGTGATGGTGCAGTGGAAAAAGAATTAATATTGTGTATGACTCCCTTGAGCTTGGAGGACTGCATCCATACATCTCTGCAATGACTCAAATCACTTATCAATAAAGTCATCTGGAATGGAAAAGAAATCGTTCTTGCAGGACTCATAGAGTTAATCAAGATTCTTTGGATCCATACTCAAAGCCTCCTCCTTCATCTTACCCTAAACATACTCAATAATGTTCATGTCTGGTGACTGGGCTGTCCAATCCTGGAGCACCTTGACCTTCTTTGCTTTCAGGAACTTTGATGTAGAGGCTGAAGTATGAGAAGGAGCGCTATCCTGCTAAAGAATTTGCCTTTCCTGTGGTTTGTAATGTAATGGGCAGCACAAATGTCTTGACACCTCAGGCTGCTGATGTTGCCATCCACCCTGCAGATCTCTTGCACGCCCCAATAATGAATGTAACCCCAAACCATTGTTTTACCAAGATGAATCTTGGGTTCATGCGAGTCCCAATAGGTCTTCTGCAGTACTTGTGATGATTGGGATGTAGTTCAACAGATGATTCATCTGAGAAATCTACCTTCTGCCACTTTTCCAAACGATCAACTAAAAGTCAAGTTATTGTTTGCTGCTCTTACAATTGGGATTGACGACAAGACTTTTGTCAGGCAGTGTAATATTATTCCTTTTTGTTTTAGGAATGTCTCATTAAAAACTTCTACAAACTCCTTAAACTGATCCCTGATCAGAAAAAAAAACCTTTGATTTGCCAAGTGACTAATATAGATCCCCAAGTGGAGATCCATTACATTTTCTAAATGTTTAAAAACAGTAATGACTGAATAAAGACCTGTTAACTGAAATCATGAGACCATGACAGTGTGTGCCAATACGTGCTCCACACAAAAGCATTGTAAAGATTTCAGTTATCATTAGCTGCAGTTGGATCCTATTTGTCTTTTTCTATCCAGCACAACTTAAATAAATGACACAAATACTGAAAAAGGATGTTTGTTTTTTTGTGCATTGTGTCATTTTGAAAGGCCCAAACCACATGCAATGTCAAAGACTTTAATCTGTGAAGAAGAGTGTTGGTGACTGAAGCTCAGAAAAACACCACAGGAAGCCTGAAGGAGCTCGTGCTGCTTCACATGTGATATGGGGTTGGGGATTTGATATCTCGGTGTGGTAATGCCACATACAGCTCATATGCAGCTGCAGGCAACGACGACGACAACAACAAAAAAAACTGAATTCTGATGGAAATGCAAGAAAATTCCCCAGACGTTTCAACAACATGCTGTGTGGTTTTTTTTTTTATGATTCAGGTGTTTATATTTCACAGAGCAGCTGCAGTTTCCTCCGAGCCACAGCACAGATCTGTCTTCTTCTTTCTCAACGAATGCTCTCATAAATATTCATGAGATGAGTCTTGAACCTGCATTATTGTGCGGTGTTGGATGATCGTGCCGTTATCGATGCGTCATTGATCAACAAATCACTGGAAAAGCAAAAGGTGTTGATGAATATTCAGAAGCAGCGTCGGTTTTGTCCAATCAGCATTGGCTGAGGCTGACCTGGAGCTGCAGTGCAGGGAGCAATAAATGTGTGCTCTAAACAAAGTGGAGGAAGCTTTAAGACTTACCTAAAACTAACTATTTAAATAGTATAACAAAACAAAGTCACCATTATGATCATGTAAAAAAAAAAGTCATTAAATATCCTAATTATATATACTTAATATTATTTATACACTCACTGGCCACTTTATTAGGTACACATTTACTAGCACTAGACTCCCTTCTGCCTTCAGAACTGCCTTAATCCTTCGTGGCATATATTCAACAAGGTACTGGAAATATTCCTCAGGCCATTGAGTACAGTGAACTTATTGTCATGTTCAAGAAACCAGTCTGAGATGATTGGAATTCTGAGCCAACCGTCTCAATGTTGCAGCTGAAATTGAGACTCATCAGACCAGTCAATGTTTTCCAATCTTCTATTGTTCAATTTTGGTGAGCCTGTGTGATCTGTAGCCTCATTTTCCTGTTCTTAGCTGACAGGAGTGGCACCCGGTGTGGTCTTCAGCTGCTGTAGCCCCTCCGCCTCAAGGTTTGACATGTTGTGCATTTAAAGATGCCTAGGTTATAAGGAGTTACTGTTGCCTTCCTGTCAGCTCGAACCAGTCTGGCCATTCTCCTCAGACCTCAGGCATCAACTAGGCATTTGCGCTCACAGAACTGCCACCCACTGGATATTTTCTCTTTTTTGGACTATTCTCTGTAAACCCTAGAGATGGTTGTGCATGAAAATCCTCGTAGATCAGCAGTTTCTGAAATACTCAGACCAGCCCATTTGGCACCAACAATCATGCCACGTACAAAGTCACTTACTGTAAGTAACCTTTCTTCTCTTTTCTGATGCTCGGTTTGAACTGCAGCAGATCGTCTTGACCATGTCTTCATGCCTAAATGCATTGAGTTGCTGCCATGTGATTGGCTAATTAAAGATTTGCATTAATGAGCAGTTGGACAGGTGTACCTAATAAAGTGGCCATTCAGTGTATACACAGTAGCATATATATACATATATTCACTTTCTTACTTTCCTTAGTCCCCTTTTTCACTTGATTTTTTTAAGAGTGTGCCAATTAAGTCCTCATCCATTGGAAGTGTATGCAAAGATAATTTTTGCTTTTGAAGCACAGAAAACAGCATCTGCTCAACCAAACATGAACAAGGTGACTTATTTTGGGCCTGTTCTTTGAGACCATCATACTGAAAATTCCTAGAAGAAAAAGTGCACTTTGAACACCCTGATGGTTTTAACCAAAAATATTATAAGTTTAAGTTTCAAATTTATAAAGCTTTTTCAAAACAGCTAGGGCTGACTAAGGTGCTGTACATAAAATGTAAAATAAAACAATACGATGTGAAGATAGAGGATTGCACAATTAGGATAGTACAAATAGCAATAACTGCTTGAAGTAACAAGTGCAGACAAGTTAAGAAACATGTACATTTAACAACAAGCAGATTAATACTTGTTAAAAGTTAAAGAGATCTTGTGAGTTTGAGTTGAGGGTTGACCATTATGAGATGTACATGCAGACCATTCCATAAACAAGGACCCACCACCGAAAAAGCTTGGTTTCCCCCTGTGTTTCAACTTCGAGGTAAAGATTTTCAATAAATTAAGATTACAAGATCTTCTTGCTGGGTTATAGGGAAGCAGCATATCTGACAGATTATTTAGGTGCCAAATTGTGTAGACACTTAAACACAAACAGAAGATTTTTAAACTCGTTCCTGAAATGGACGGGAAGCCAATGGAGGGAGTGTAGGATGAGAGTGACATGGTCATATTTGTGACCGTTTTGCGAAATTTGGCTGCAGATTTCTGGACCACTTGAAGTCAAACTACCTGGGATGCCATACTCTATAGAATTAGAGTTATCTCCAAGCATGAAGTTATAAACGCATGGATAACTGTCTCACGTGACTTTTCAGGCCAAAAATGTTTAATTTTGAAGAGTAAACAGAGTTGAAAAAAACTTGAGGCGACAATAAAAGCAACATGCTGGTCAAATGGTGATCATCGATAGACACACCCAGATTGTGTACAAAACTTGAATTAAAACCTTTTTATAACAGTTCAAGCTCTCAACTGTTGCAATTTTAATTGCATAGGACAGGGTCGGGACTTCAAACCAGATGATGAATGACCAAGACTTGTATATGTGCAGTGTTTAGTGCATCATTAAAGACACAACTCATTCACTTATGTCTCTATTGAAACTTAGTAACACTAAATGACTTAAATAATGGCAGATGAAAGTCAAATAAAAACATGGATTATAATCCTGTTAAAGGTAATAAACTCACGTAGAGAATGCATTATTCTGCCTCTCGCAGCGGATCCCCTTGCAGTGGTTGGGCTCATCTGCCGCCTCTGTCTCATAGTAAAAGTAAAGCTGGTTGAGTCCGTTGGCAAAGGCCAGCAGCACTAAACAGTAGATGAAGAGGAACTTGAGGATGTCCAGCAGCATGCGGCCCAGAGAGATCTGCAGCGGGCCCAGGTGAGAGTTCGCCGTGAACAGAGAGATGAGCCGAAGAGAGCTGAAAATGTTGGCGATGGCAAACAAAGCTTCGGCGATCAACGTCGGATGCCACATCTCCCATTCCTCTCGCGGACGAGAACTGTTATACTGGAGAGTACACAGACACACACACACACGAAAACATTCGGTTAATCATTTGTTAATTTTGTGTTATATTTTTGACACTGCACTTGTAAACTTTGCCAATGACAATACAAGCTATAGATCCAGAACTGTTGTGTGTTGCTGATCAATGTGCAGCGATGAGTGTGATTGAATATACAATTGAAGTCAGAATTATTAGCCCCCCTAAATTATTAGACTGCTTGTTTGTTTTTTCCCCAATTTCTGTTTAACAGAGAGCAGATTTTTTCAACACATTTCTAATCATAATAGTTTTAATAATTTTAATAATAGTTAAAATAATAAAATTTTATATTATTAGTTTAAATAATATTTTATCTTTGCCATGATGACAGTAAATAATATTTAACTAGATATTTTTCAAGACACTTCTGTGACATTTAAAGGCTTAACTAGATTAATTAGGTTAACTAGGCAGGTTAGGGTAATTAGTAAAGTTATTGTATAATGATGGTTTGTTCTGTAGACTATCGAGAAAAAATATAGCTTAAAGGGGCTAATAATTTTGTACCTAAAATGGGCTTTAAAAAAATAAAAACAGCTTTTATTCTAGCCGAAATAAAACAAATAAGACTTTCTCCAGAAGAAAAAATATTATCAGACATACTGTGAAAATTTCTTTGCTCTGTTAAACATCATTTGGGAGATATAAAAAAAGGGAGATATAAGAGGGAGATATAAGATACAAAAGGGAGCTATAAGAAAGAAATTCAAAGGGGGCTAATAATTCTGACTTCAACTGTATGTTCTGAATGAATCAAGTGAATCAATTGCTCACTCTATATCAGTAAAAAAGGATGGTTATCCATAAATGAGCATTTTAGATTATATACTCACCTTCATGTCATTTGAATTTCTTTATTAAGCAAATCATTAAAGATATCGACAAAGGATTCTGTTGAATTGAATAAATAATTTTGTGTTATATTTTAGACACTGCCCTTGTCAGCTTTGCCAATGCAATCCAAGCTATTAATCCAAAACTGTTGTCTGTTTCTGATTAATGTGCAGCTGTGAGTGTGAATGAATCTACATTTTAATGAATCAAGTGAATCATTTGCTCATTCTATGTCAGTAAATATAAGATAATAACCCAAAATGAGGATTTTAAAATTACATATACACCATGTCATTTGAATTTCTTTTGCAAAACAATTTAGATATTGCAAGGATATTCACAAGATATTCACTGTTTAATTGAGTAATTTTGTGTTATATTTAAGACAGTACCCTTGTCAGTTTTGCCAACGACAATACAAGCTATAGAACTGTTGTGAGTTTCTGATCAATGTGCAGCAGTAAACGTGAATGAATCTACGTTTTGAATGAATCAAGTGAATCAACTGCTCATTCTATATCAGTAAAATTGATAGTTACTCTCAAATGAGTAGTTTAGCATTATAAACTCACCTTCATGTCATTTGAATTTTTTTATTTTGCAAAACATTACAGATATTAACAAAGAATTATATGTTGAATTAAACAAATATTTATTGTTTTATTTTAGGCAATGGCCTTGTCAGTTTTCCAATAAAAGTACAAGATATAAATCCAGAACTGCTGTGTTTATGATCAATGTGCCACATTGACTGTGAATGAATCTACATTTTGAATGAATCAAGTGAATCAATTTCTCATTCTATATCAGTAAAATGAATAGTTACCCATAAATGATACTCTCCTTTATGTCATTTGAATTTCTTTCATTTGCAAAACATTAAAGATATGGCAAATATATTCACAAAGAAATCTGTTAAATTAAATATATATTTTAGTGATATATTTTAGACACTGCACTTTATAGAACTGCTGTGTTTATGATGAATGTGCATAAGTGAGTGTGAATGAATCTACGTTTTGAATGAATCAAGTGAATCAGTTGCTCATTCTATATCAGTAAAAAAGGATAGTTATTGTTAAATGAGCCTTTTAGAATTATATACTCACCCTCATGTCATTTTTTTCTTTCTTTTCCAAAATATGAAGATATGGCAAAGATATTCACACAGTTATATTATACACTGAATTATACCCTGAAAACAACGATTCACTGGATTTACTACATTATTTTAAGGTAACTGGTAGCAAACAATTTATAGGGGCTGTATTTTAAACAAACAAATTAAATGTAATGATGTTTAACTTAATTCAGCTGAAATAAATAGTTTGCAACCAGGTACCTTAAAAAAATGAGTAAATTCAATGAATAATTTTTTCAGTGTATGTTGAATTCAATAAAATATGTATTTCTAGAGCAATTTTTTGCAACATCTGTCATGCCTTTCACATTTAACACAGCTTACAAATTCTCTTCATGGGTATTTTTTTCATCCAAATTTTAACATGTATTTATTTAGATACATAAATCGCATCATTGTGCAATAAATACGACTTTTAAAATATAACCAATGTACAATGTATGGTAATCCTTGCATGATTTAGTTTCAGAACTCTAGATCACTACATTGTGCCACAATATTGTGCTGAGAACAAAACCCTGCAGGTTCAAAATGCAATTAGATAAATATGCAAGAACATTGCAAGAACACTGTTCAAAGGTTTGCAGTCACCAAAGCTGTATTTATTTAATTATTGCTCAACGAGTTACAAGTTAAAATTACTGTTTATACACTGTTAAAGGGCACTGTTTAAACACAAATCAATTAAGTTAACCTAATTATTTTTGCAAATATAAATAGATTGAAAATAAAACATTTAAATTGTCTCAAAAAGCTCAATAGTTGTGTTTATTCAGCTCATTTGAAATAAACAGTTTGAACAACCAGCAAAAATCATGTTTGAGTGTATTCAATCAGTTTTATAATGCAATTTATTCCATTCTCAATATTTAGAGACTTCTGAATGATAGTGTACTGCATGCACAATGGGGCATTGCTTGCAGATGGTTGGTCAAGTGTTTGCATATTTATTAGAGTCCATTTTTAGCCTTATTCACATACCGCAACACCCACAGCAACAACCTGCTGCTACAGTAAATGCACTAGTATAGCACTGCATCATGCATTTTAAAATCCATCGCCAAGTCACTGCCATTTGTTTCTAGGTAAACGAGTCTTTTTTTTTTTAATGCAAACGAAGCTCAATGGATTGGATTCATGAACGTGAATGGATTAGCTTATTTTGCCTGATGCAGTTAACTTTGCACTATTACCGCCTACGAACGCTGGCGGTAATTGTGTTGGAAAGGGATGTCTGTGTACAGTTTCCAGTGATCATGGCAGCCGCAATTCATCAAATGATGATCAAAAGATGAAGAAGTATGATGACGCTCATACTGTAGATCTAGACATGCTGTGTAGTCGAGAATGTTTGGCATTTTAAAGAGCAGATTCGGATTGCAGTGGTGAAAATTGCAACGCAAATTGCAATCAGCGCTAATTTGGTAGGCGTGTTTGCAGCATTACCTGATTTGCATAATTCCTTGAGTGAATCAGGTGCTGTAACAATACAAATAACAGTCGCAAAAGACAACATTATCCTCAGATTCAGAGAATTCTACCCAACAAATGGCTTCATTAGGAAAATCTAATCTCCAGCTTGAGAAATTCTTCCATTAGTTTTTTTGTTCTGGATACGCTTCTGCCTTTTTTTCCAGACAGTTGAGTCAAAGGTCTAACAGGCTTTCTCTTTGACATTTCTTTCCTTGCATAACTTCAGTTGAGAGTGGAACGAGACGCTTCTCCCCTCAACACCATCTCTCAATTCCATGTTTCAGTGGGCAGAGAAATAAGGCTGGCTTTTCAGTGCCAGGCATGGCTGAGCTCTTCTTCCTTTAAATTCTGCTCTCTACTGGGACTATAAGACCACAATATTAACTGGCTAATACATTCATAGTCTAATCTCATGTTTTGAAATCTTACTATTAAATAGGACTGGTTGAATATGAAAAGAAAATTATAATAATTTTAAGAATGTATTATTATTTCAATTATTATGAGAGCGCAATATGAGCAAAACATAATACAAAGAACATACTTTTCCACAATATATGTCTGTTTTTTTATTATCTGGAACTGATGCATGCTTATATAATGCAGTAAGCATAAAAAAGGAAAACAATGTGCAAAACTTGTTTCACATTTGGATATTTGTGAGCGTCTGAGTGTGTGTTTCTCTCATGTGACTTAGAGTATATGCACTACCTGACAAAAGTCTTGTCGCTTATGCAAGTTCTAGAAACAACACATAATATCTTGACTTTTAGTTGATCATTTAGTATCAGAAGTGGCTCATATGAAAGGCAAAGTCCTCTAGATTACGCTTATTTTACCAAAATAAAGTATGATCATGCCTTGATTTTTAATTATTTAATTAGGACTTTAAGATCCGACTTTGCTTAGACAAAAGTCTTGTCACTTAACAGAAATAATGTCCAGTATAGAATATAAGGTCATGGTGCAGTGGAAAAAGAATTTATATTGTGTATGACTCCCATGAGCTTGGAAGACTGCATCCATACAGCTCTGCAGTGACTCAATTAACTTATTAATAAAGTCATGGCAAAGAAAGCGTTCTCGCAGGACTCCCAGATTTCAAAATGTTTTGTATTCATCTTCAATGCCTCCATCTTACTCCAGATATGCCCAATAATGTTCATGTCTGGTGACTGGGCTGGCCAATCCTGGAGCACCTTGATCTTTTTTGCTTTCAGGAACTTTGATGTGGAGGCTGAAGTATGAAATGTCTTGATACCTCAGGCTGTTGATGTTGCCATCCACTCTGCAGATCTCTCGCACACACTCATACCGAATGTAACCCCAAACCATGATTTTTCCTTTACCAAACTTGACTGATTTCTGTGAGAATATTGAGTCCATGTGTGTTCCAATAGGTCTTCTGCAGTATTTTTGATGATTGGGATGCAGTTCAACAGATGATTCATCAGAAAAATCCACCTTCTGCCACTTTTCCAAATGATCAACTAGAAGTCACGTTAATATTTGTTGCCCTTACAACTCGGGTCAACGACAAGACATTTGTCAGGTAGTGTACAAAGATTTCTTTCTTGGCAGCAACATTTATCAAGTTATTATTAGTACTTTTACAAATAAGGTTGCTATGATACTAACATTTAGATAAAAGTAAAAATTCAACACAACATCATAATATGTTAATGGAAAGGCTTTCAAGCTTTATAATGCCACGGACCCCTATTTTTACAGACTGAAATTCAGCTTTAAAACAATTCCTCAAACAACAGTTTTCTCCATCCAATAAAAAAACTAAACAGCAAATGGAAAGAAACAGAATGCAATACAGTAATCACGTTCTCTATAAGCACTGTGCCAAAATCTAAACAAAAAAATTATTCAATTGAACTGCCTGAGTAATAATACACGCAGATAGAAATATTTATAGCCATTAAATGCATTTCTTTAGAACATGTCCAAACACAAAACAGAGCATAAATAACATGGCTTGTGATATGACCATTTATCTTATTACACATGAATATGCACACGCATACACATACACACACAATTTAAGGGACTCGTGTGGGCTGAAACCCTGTCCATGCAGGGTGACTAAGACAGCTGCAGATGGTCATGAAGTCTGGAGCATGTCTGTGTCTGCGTGCGTATGTGTATGTGTGTGTGCTATTTGTGTTTACACGCTTGTTTGTCTGAGATGGAGTATATATACAGTTGAAGTAAGAATTAATAGCCCCCCTAAATTATTAGCCCCCTCTTTATTTTTTTCCCCAATTTCTGTTCAACAGAGAGAAGACTTTTTTCAACACATTTCTAAACATAAAAGTTTTAATAACTCATTTCTAATAACTGATTATTTTCTACCCATGATGACAGTAAATAATATTTACCTAGATATTGTTCAATACACTATTCAGCTTAAAGTGAAATTTAAAGACCTAACTAGGTTAATTAGGTTAACTAGGCAGGTTAGGGTAATTAGTCAAGTTATTGTTTAATGATGGTTTGTTCTGTAGACTATTGAAAAAAAATATCTTAAAGGGGCTAATAATTTTGTCCTTAAAATGGCTTTAAAAAAATAAAAAAACTGCTTTTATACTAGTTGAATTAAAACTAATAAGGCTTTCTCCAGAAGAAAAAATATTATCAGACATACTCTGAAAATTTCCTTGCTCTGTTAAACATCATTTATGAAATATTTAAAAAAAAAAAACAAATTCAAAGGGGTGGCTAATAATTCTGACTTTAACTGTACATGTGTGTGTGTGCACTCTTCATGAGGAACAACACAATTGTGTCGTATAAGTATGTGTCTTATATATCCTGTTATACCAATATTAAGATAGTTTATAAGGACATACCTTGTGTGCTACTCCTCGCAATTTATTCATTCATTCATTTTCTTTTTGGCTTGTCCCTTTATTAATCTGGGGTCGCCACGGCAGAATGAACCACCAACTTATCAAGCATTTGTTTTACGCAGCGGATGCCCTTCCAGCTGCAACCCATCACTGGGAAACACCCATACACCCCCATTCACACATATACACAACGGACAATTTAGCCTACCCAGTTCACCATAGTGCATGTATTTGGACTTACAGGGGAAACCGGAGCACCCGGCAAAACCCACACTAACACAGGGAGAACATGCAAACTCCACACAGAAATGCCAAATGACCTCAGCTGAGGCTCAAACCAGTGACCTTTGTGCTGTGAGGCAACAACACTACCCACTGCGCCACCTTGCCACCTTCCAGCACTTAAAAATCATACTTAACAGAGTCTTTTGAAATACAAAAAATGTGCTGGATCAGGAAACCTTTCCGTGTGGAGTTTGTATGTTCTCCCTGTGTCTGTATGTGTTTCCTCCGGGTGATCCGGTTTCCCCCACAGTCATGAAATATAGGTGAATTGGATAAATTAAATAGGCTGTAGTGTGTGAATGGCAGTGTGTGTGTTTTTTCCAGCACTAGGGGTTGTACTCTTGATGCTGGGTTAAGGCTGGAAGGGCATCCACTGGTAAAACATATGCCAGAGTAATTGGCAGTCTGACTGTTGATAAAGCAGGGAATAAGCCAGAGACAAGTTTGACTGTATGTGTTTATTTATCTGTGTGTCTGCTTGTTTGTGTGTGTCTGTGTGGACTTTAGTGTGAGTGAAGAGGACTGAACTGCTCACCTTGACATAAGCCACGATCTTTAGAGAAATGGTGGCCAAATAGAGAGAATTCATAGCAAAGTCCATCAGGTTCCACCAGTCATGGACGTACTCGTTAAAACCTCCATCCCACATCTCCTTAATCTCAGCCCATATAAAGCCTAGGAGAAACAACATACACAGATATTAACTTGAGATGCAAAACATATTGTTTAATGGGAATTTTCTTTTATTTTATATAAATTATTTTGCCCTCATAATCTTTAATCAAAAACCATAACCTTCCCGGCCCTCCTCCAAATGACTTGTCTTAACTTCCGGTTTGAAGAAAATCAAAATGTACTTTTGTTATTTCTGTATACACTGTTTACTGTATATAGTAGTGCAAGTTATACACAATGTGTCTATGCACTTCATTACTTCACAAAAATTAATTTACCATCATAATCTTTAACCAAATGCCACAACCCTCGAAATGACTTTCTTTACTTCCCGTCACATTGAATGTTTTTAAGATAGGACTTGGCCGATAAACAATATTATATCGAATCGGGATAAAATTAGTCAATAACAGTAATAAGCTCTGGACTTTTTTACTCTTCATTGATCTAAGAGCCAATCACACAGCAGAAATGTGCAACAAATGGAATCTAAAAGTGTGCTGATATTGCCCTTCTATAAGGACAGTCTGGGATGGGCTTTTTACCTCCTTTTTACCCCCAGACATCTTATTTCCTATTTTTCTATGCTACCTCTCGACTGACCGGTCTTCACCTGATATGTGTAATGTCTGTGTAGGGTTGGAGGGGTCCAATTTCACTCCATGTAACAGTGTTGTGACAAACAAAGACTCATCATCATAATAGAGTTGGATCAAATTTTCCACCACCGAAAATTTATCAGCCGAAAATATGTTATGCCATTTAAAGGACCCTCTAATTTTTGTGGCTTCAGTCTTTTAGGGCAGGGCTATTAGTCCTTTAAGGTGGGACTGTCAATCTTTTAGGGCAGGGCTATCAGTCCTTTAAGATGGGACTATCAGTAATTTAGGGTGGGACTATCAGTCTTTTAAGGTGGGAATATCAGTCCTTTAGGGCGGGGCTATCAGTCCTTTAAGGTGGGACAATCAGTCCTTTAGGGCAGGGCTATCAGTGCTTTAAGGCGGGACAATCAGTCCTTTAGGGCAGGGCTATCAGTGCTTTAAGGCGGGAACTATCAGTTCTTTAGGGCAGAGCTATCAGTCCTTTAAGGCGGGAACTATCAGTTCTTTAGGGCAGGGCTATCAGTCCTTTAAGGCAGGGTTTTCAGTCCTTCAAGGTCGGACTGTCAAACATTTTGGGCAAGCCTATTAGTCCTTTAAGGTGGGACTATCAGTCATTTAGGGCAGGGCTATCATTCCTTTATGATGGGACTACCAGTCCTTTAGGGCGGGGCTAACAGTCCTTTAAGGAGGGACTATCAGTCCTTTAGGGCGGGGCTATTAGTTCGTTAGGGCCGGGCTATGAGTCCTTTATTGGGAACTATTAGTCATTTAGGGTGGGAAAATCAGTCTTTTAGGACAGGGATCTCAGTGCATGTCTTGTTTCTGCCCTGTCTTTGAGAGAGATAGTGGTTCTAATGAATATTATACAAATCCATTGTAAAATGTAGCTCCTCTTCCTCATTATTGTCAGGCATCTGAAAACTTTCTGCACCAGAGGGTGACGACGGTGATTCCACTGGACAGTAAAATCCTCCAAAACTAAGTGCAAACTGGCATTCAAATCTTCCACCATATTTTTAGCAATGTCTATCTTCCAAATCATGCACTGCCCTACCTTCTATTCTCACTAAACTGTTTTAATTGGATGTATGTAATTATATATATATAAATATGTATATATATGTATATATATATAATTCAAGCTTTAAAAAGACACAATCAGACTCACCCAGCACCCAAGGTAGAATCATCCACTCCACCACGGTGGGCGGAGGGCCCTGCATGTGTAGGTTGGTGCGTGCAATGTGCTGTGAGGCCAGGAGGAGGAGGAAGAGGAAGGTGAGGTAGGAGGCCGTGTGGCAGATAAACTTGATGAAGGGTTTTTTGATGAAGAGCCCCAGCGTGCTCTTGGGAGCCAGCAGGTAAACCAGCGAGAAGACAGGGAAGAGCAGGCCGATAATGAAGCACATGACCAGCTTGACTGCCCAATGACGGCGCCGCCAGCCAGGAAAACCGTCATACCACAGTGTGGCCAAAAGCTGCTGGCAGTTTGGCTGTGCCACAAACTGGAAGAAAAAAAAAAGGGAGAGAGAGATTTGTAAATGGATTTTAAAGGATTTGTAAATGCTCATGCATAATGGCAACCATACGCAGAAGGACCAATTAACTGGGAGAAAAAGGAGCATTATTCATTCTGACAAGAATGAGTAATCTTTAATCTGTCCTACAGATGGGTGAAGCTGCATATTTTCATAATCCAATCGTTGGTGGGGGTGTGGATGAATACTAGTTGACTGGCTGGTCTAAAGGTACACCTGTATAAAACAAGGTTTCACCAGATCCAAAGGGACAAAAAATAATAATAATAAAAAAAAAATAAAAGAGTGGATCTCAGGATGATTTCAGGTATTTGAACTAACACATAATTAATGTATTAAAATATATTCGAACTGCAGAATATGCTAAATATATAAATGCACAGATGTTTTATTGTAATTCTGGACTATACTATTCCACATCATTATTGTCACTATATACAGTTAAAGTCAGAATTATTAGCCAATTACCCCAATTTCTTTTTAACGGAAAGATTTTTCTTCAACACATTTCTAAACAAAACAGTTTTAATAACTCATTTCTAATAACTGATTTATTTTTTCTTTGCCATAATGACAGTAAATTATATTTGACTAGATATTTTTTAAGACACTAGTATTTAGCTTAAAGTGACATCTAAAGGCTTAACTAGGTTAACTATAGGCAAGTTTATTTCATAAATCATTTTATAACGATGGTTTGTTCTGTAGACAATCAAAAAAATATTGCTTAAGGGAGCTAATATTATTGACTTTCAAATGTTAAAAAATTAAAAACTGCTATTATTCTAGCCAAAATAAAACAAATACAAATTTCTCCAGGAGAAAAAAATATCATCAGACATACCGTAAAAAAAATCCCTGCTCTGTTAAACATAATTTGGGAAATATTAAAAAAAGAAAAGAAAATTTACAAGATGGCTAATAATTTTGACTTTAACTGCACATCAAACATTTTTTTAGACATGCAGGTTTGTCATTTGAGGTTTGCAATACTGAATATTTACACAAACAAATGAGATCTATTTGAAAAGCTCACTGAATCACTGGCTGACTGGATTCAATCAAAAACAGATTAATACAGGAATCAAACACTGCAGTGTTTTAGACACACTGTGTTCTGCTACAGCTTTGCTTGAATTATTTTTGCTGTCACAGAGATAATATTGTGTCTGAAATCCTACTCACAAAATATTAACCTCTTATTGAATCACAGTCACATTATGATAATTGTGAAAGCTTTGCTTTTTTGTGGTATTACTGGACTATATCATAATGTATTTTGAATACAAAAAAAAGATACATGTTTTGCTTTCAACTTTAATTATTGGGCTGTTTAAACTAACAGTAAACACAGTAAATGCTTTTGGAAAGTGTTCTGATAGATTTTTCTTTGTTTTTCAGGAAATGAGAGATAATATTATATCAGCTTGCATACTGTTAAAACAATTAAGATTTTATCACTATCAATTATTATCAATTCTATTAGAGTAACTTGATAATAAAACCAAATTTCTCCCCTGTAATCAAACGATTTACAAACATTTTTGAAAATTTGTTGCAAAAAAAAAACAAAATAGCATTTGTTTCACAAATTAGATATCTCTCATTTATATAAATCCCAACAAGAAGTACTCAAAAATTTAAATAAAATAAAAAACAATGAATTGATACATCTATTTGCATTTATTGCATAAACATAGCTCATTTTAAAGAACAGACCACTGTGATTTATTTCTCTGCATTTGTTGTTGATTGAACCGTGTGTGTTGTTAACACATTTAGCTCTGAAATGCCACTCATGGTTTGCAGCTGAAAACGAATGTGATGACAGGAAGACAAACAGAACTGGCAAATGCAAATGGCATTATAATTATTATGTTCTTAAAGGAAAGCTTCATCTCACTCATATAATTGCAAACCTCTGCGGCTTTCTTTATATCTTGGAATGCAAAAACAGAAAACTCAGATAATTTAGTTGCTGCTTATAATAGGATAGAGAAAGAGAAACATAGACATAAGATTGAACATATATAATTATCTATCTATCTATCTATCTATCTATCTATCTATCTATCTATCTATCTATCTATCTATCTATCTATCTATCTATCTATCTATCTATCTATCTATCTATCTATCTATCTATCTATCTATCTATCTATCTATCTATCTATCTATCTATCTATCTATCTATCTATCTATCTCAATAACCAGTCATCCAGCCAGTGCAGATCGCTGAAGAAATACAAATCTGCCACTTTAATAAACTACAAATACCATCATGCACTTCACTCACACACCTGGCCCAGATTCCTCTTTATTGCAAACACACACAGCTGGAGCAGTGGACTATAGACAATCAGATGGACTATAGACAAAGCTCACACACCATTGTTGAGTCTTGTTATACTGTTTTATGAACATTACGATGCGTTTCCCTAGCCTAGCCTTGCCTTGCCATGTTTGACCTTTGCTTTGTTTCTTTGTTTACATAGTTTGTCGCCTGTACCGTAGTGGTGGGCAAATAAAGGCTTTGTGAAACACAGAAACAGTCTAAGCATGTGTCGAAGTTTCGAAATGTTTTGAAACCCATCTCTACAGTGACAACTATTGGTCATTTTTATCATTTTTTAGAGTTCCTGACTGGCATGCAGAGATAATGGGTTTGAATCTAGGGTGATACAGCTGTAGATGATTTTAAATGCTCTGTTCCTGTAACGCCTTTTGTTTTAACATTGGTCAGACTTCCGCATGACCACTTTGTGAATAACTGTCTTGTTTTGCACATAAAAAAAGTAACATTATTAAAATATCAAGTCATAATTTCAGAGTATTTCTACAAGTCGGGTCTCGGGCCATTTACAGCAAAACCACTAGGCTACATGAGAAGGAGATTTTTTTTCTGACCCTGACAGTCAAACGCAGATTCACCAGGTCTCGAAACACTTCTGAAATAACCGTTGCTTTGAATCGCTTGTCACATGAACTGGTGTTTCGAAACACTTTAGTCACGTGACCTGGGTGTTTCGAATCACCTTAGTCACGTGACCTGGGTTTTCGGATCATGTTTTGGTGCAGTGTTTAGAAGCACTTGCGCTTCAGGATCTCGACGCTGTGTTGAAATGTTTCACGTCAGCCATCCCTACTGTACCGACTATTCGCCTGTTTACTGACCACGCTTGGGATTACACTGCATACACCTGTTAGTTCCTGTTTTGACATTTGCTTGCTAGACAATTCTCTTAATAAAACTGCAATCGGATCCTCAATTATAAGCCATAATTCACTGTTTATTATCATTCATTATATTGCGAAGTTAGCCCAGGACAATCTTTACAAATGAGATGGATGGATGGATGGATGGAAAAGAAAACATAGATAGATAGATAGATAGATAGACAGACAGACAGACAGACAGACAGACAGACAGACAGACAGACAGAAAGACAGACAGACAGACAGACAGACAGACAGACAGACAGACAGACAGACAGACAGACAGACAGACAGACAGACAGACAGACAGACAGACAGACAGACAGACAGACAGACAGACAGACAGATAGATAGATAGATAGATAGATAGATAGATAGATAGATAGATAGATAGATAGATAGATAGGGAGGGAGGGAGGGAGGGAGGGAGGTAAGTCACTGGTTTGAAAACAAAGCAAGGGCGATTTAATCCTGACAGAATCTTCATTTTGGTTTGAAGCATTTCTTTAATGGTGCGGAAAGTATTGTTATTATCAATCATTCTCAAAGCAGGAAGTGGAAGGATAGATGGTGAAAAGCTTCTTCAGAGTGTAAACAAAGCTAATTACCAGTTTAGCGCATTGCTGTAGGAGACTTGCTGGTAAGAGAGCGTCCTCAGAAACATCTGCTTTGAAATGAAGCGAGCCAAGAATTGACTCGCCTCATATTTCATAGCACATTTGTGATAAGTTATCTAGTGGCTGTAATGGAAAATGCTGCGTGGGATGACAACACGGCATGATAGATGAGTAACAACTCTTTCTCAGATTCAAAAGTTTCCATTGTTCTGCAGAGAAAGCAGTGGCTTCTGAACCAACCATTCGCCTCTGAACATCTACTAAACCCACAGTTAAAGGGATAGTTCACCCAAAAATCTAAGTTCTGTCTGCTCATCCTACATCTTGTTCAAAACCCATTTGATTTTATTTCTTCTGTTGAACACAACAGAAGTTGTTTGGGGGATAAATGAACACTATGGTTACATGATTTCAGCTTTCTTCATTACAACAGAAGAAAGAAACTCATAAGGGTTTGGAGTCCCTTGAGAGAGAGTAAGGCCCAATCCCAATTCATTTCCCCCCTACCCCTTCCCCTTGGCCCTTAAAATAGAGTGTGAAGGGAAAGAGTTTTAAATTTATGCCTCAGAAATGGGACAGCACTACTTTCTCTCATGAGTGCCATTTGCTCCTGCTGTTTTTGCGAAAATCCACCAGAGGCCAGTGTCGACAGACAGATTGACGGACAACAGATAACCCCCGATTGACCAGTGCCCAATGTCTTCCCTAAACCCAACCAATAGTGTTTTAAAAAGCACTGATAACCCCACATACCCCCTTCCCTAAATCCAACCGATAGTGTTTTAAAAAGCACCGATTGACCCGCTCACCACCTTAAACTAAACTGACGGTGTTTTCAAAAGCAATCCATAAACAGAAAAGCCCCGCGACCGCCTTATTTTTCTTCGCTGGACTCAAACCCCGTCGTCGCGGTCAACCCCGTCATCGCGGTCAACTCCGCTCTGCATCTCAAGTCGGCCAACATACGCGGCGAGCCACTGAGCGTATTGGTAACAGTGGAAAAGCCATTTACAGGGAGGTAAGCAGTAAGCTGGTAGCGCGAAAAGAAACAGAAGCCTTCAGCGGCGTCATACCGCCTAAATCTTTCATTTTGAAGTTAAAATGCAGCCATATATACCTCTGGCTACATAATTC